GAGATAAATGATTAAAAAGTTTATATGCAAAAGCCATCATCCAAGACACATTTTCTCTGGTGCTTCAAAAATTTGCTAAAAATCAACAAAATATGCGAATAACCTGAGTTATCACGGCATTTATAGAGCAAATAGTGTTCTGTCCAGTGTCCAGTGAACAGAAATGCATTATAGAAGCGCGCAAATCAGCCGTTTCTTAAAAATTTGCCAAAAAATGAAAAAACGCGAAACAGCCGGATTCTGCGGCCTTTTTTTAAATAAATCCTTTTCTATTCAGTGGCATAATAATCACTGTCTCAGCTAGCAGGAACAGTTCTGGTCACATAAATCCTTAAAACATTTTCAAACAAATTCCGAAACAAAAGTTTAAGAATTTGCAAAATGTGCAATTGAGGCGAAGAAGTTTAACACAGCAAAAGTTAAGAAGCCAGATCTGCTCTGTTTTCTGGGTTCCTCAATTAACCCTTCCGTGCTGCAAAGAGAAACTCAAAACGCCAGTTTCCTTTGATGCAACCACATGTAAAAAATTTCGTTATAAACTTTCTTGAACTGCTCTTGATTCTCATTATCTTCGCCTTAGTCATGACTCTCCTTCAAACGATAGGCGTTTTCTTTGGCGACACTGATCGAAGGTTCTCGCAGGTCACCCAACAGTTCAAGCTCAGTTTGGATGGTTTATCACCTATTTGTGCTCCTTCAAGCCCCTACTAGAAGACCGGCAGTTATTTACCATTGAAGATATCATCAGCATTCCTCTAATGATGCACTTATTAATGGATTAAAGGAAAACTCGTCTCCGAAGTAATAACACTGTTACTAGTCGGGACTGAGTTCTTCAGATGGTGAAGAAGCTCGTATTATGCAAATGCCGAGCATGTGGGCACAATCCGATGAAGAACCCAGTAAGCAAAAGGGCCAAGTAATAATGAAGAACGAAGATTAACACCTGCCCAGTCTGGCGCGTGCTTCGACAGTTGCTGGTAATCTCGTTTCTTTTAAAGCCACAAAGGTCGTCAGTTTTTTAGATGTGAACCGGTCCGAAGCTCGAAAAACGCCGATTGCGTAAGGGCGCGTGTGTTGAAGCCTGATTGTGATTGAGCCATTTTTCCTTCCTCGCAACGAACTGGTTTGAAATTTCCCTGTTAAATTTCTTATCAGCAAGCAAACAGAAAAATACAGCAGACACGATCGTCGTGAGGCCCCCCAATTTTTCGATCGCACTTTATCTCGAAAGCCACAAACGGGGTCCAGATCGAAACCGTTGCACACGCCAAAGCAGGTGTTTGGAGGCAGGTGAACACCACCATATGCCCACCATCTATCTGACAGACACTCTTCATTTAAACCGACTACCAGCGGGTTTTATTTACGTCATTCTAGTTCTTTTTCATCTGGTGATGTTGATTCAATTTGGTTATTGACTCCGGCTGGGAGACGGAGGGAGACCATGCAGCTGCCGAAAATTATGGGGAAATGGGAGAGTTCAACTCAACTCAACTGCTGTTTGCATCGCAAGCATCTAATCTGGAGCGTTACAAGTAAGAAAACATGCATTTTCCACTGGCAAAAGCCCGGCCTGGTTCGTGGCAAATAATTGGGCCCGGTTCGAGTAAACACGGCATTTATTGAGAACAAACTGAGATGTCCGTTTAATTGGACGCGGCACGTGTAACCGTATCGATTAGTAGCAATTTGTTTAAAAATATAATCGTCCAGCCCATGGTCAGATCGGAACAGGGACGTGCAATGACCAAGGATCCCATCGATGTTTACAGATAACTACCATCTTAAATTAGCAACGAAACCCACAAACAAAAGAACCATGTCGCCTTAATGGAACCTCCAAGTTTGTTATGGTTACTTGGAACTAATTTGCAAACCCAATGAGGTTCGATGCTTTCGATCAATCACAATGCAAGGAATTATCTCGTTGGTACCTCCGGTAAATGGGTCTGCTCTAGGTGGGTGTTTTGCGTCACTCTGCGATATGACATACACATCATCGGCATATTTCCTCTCTGATTGGGCAACGTGCAGGCTATTTACCAGCGCATCACTTTACCGCGAACCCAATCGATCAGCAACAATTTTCTCAAAACATTCGTTCGATTTATCCGAGCTTGTCGTTTCGTGTATCGTCTAATTACGAGGAAATGCGATTTTTTTAGGTCAATTAATCGTACCGCTGTCGCATTTTACCGACATCGATTGGGCAATTGCCAATCGCAAGTTTTCGTATTTGGCTAATTTTCAATCGCTTGATTTGCTAATCTTGGGTTTCGTTTTAACTCCATGGCCTGGTTTAAAGGAAACTTATTTTCGATCTTACCCGAAAATCTCTCTAGGCTCCAGACTGCTGGAAGTGCTCTATTTGGGCGCAAAAGACTCTACTGTGAAATAGCAAGTCCTGCTCTATCATCTGCACTCTCTATCTACTTTCCAACTGCTCTCATTTAGTATGATATTCTTATCTTTCTTGGGTTTAACTTTGAACATCGTTGATTTCATTACGTTTCGGCCGGACTACAGCGCCATCATCAGATTTAAAATTTACACAAACTCATGATTGGTAAAAATCAACGTTCTTTTAGGTCTTTGCCTTCTTGAAACCGTAAATTTGTCTCCAAAGTGTGAAGTAAAAATTGTGAAACATCGTTGATTTCATCACGTTTCGGCGAGACTACAGCGCCATCATCAGATTTAAAATTTACACAAACTCATGATTGGTCAAAATCAACGTTCTTGTAGGTCTTTGCCTTCTTGAAACCTTTAATTTGTCTCTCGAAAGACAAATTTACGGTTTCAAGAAGGCAAAAACCTACAAGAACGTTGATTTTTACAAATCATGAGTTTGTGTAAATTTTAAATCTGATGATGGCGCTGTAGTCTCGCCGAAACGTGATGAAATAAACGTCTACAATCAAGGCACAGACAAGCAAAACCCCAAACTAGGATGGTGCTTGTGAAATGAGTGTAGGGATGTTTTAATACTGAAAGTTCCACTATTTGACCCTTTCAGATCCGCGTCCTCTCTGATTGAGTTTCACTTTCAGCTACTTTCACAGAGAAATCGCTCTTGTTCCACTCTCATTGTCTTAACTGAACTGTGTTGTTCCAGATTATAAAGCAGCCATGCAAGGGGTGGTTTTTGCTCCGGAAAATCCTCAACAAGGCTCGCCACCACCCAGCAACGTTCCAGGTAAGTCCCAACTGCTCGTAATTGTTTGTGGGCGCCAACAGCAGAATATTGACCTTTACCGTCATATCTCAGTGATTTCTGGTACTGGCGAGGCGAAAACACATCGGCAGATAAGGAACAATCCCAAACAACATCATCAGCCTTATCTGGAAGGAAACTGAAACCTGTATGCGGTTTGTCGAGCGTGACGAATCTCATTGTGGTCCATTTTAATCAGGCCTGGGTTTTCCGTTTCGGAAAAACAAACGTCCACAGTCTCATGGGCGCGTCAATGGTTTTTTTCGTGGGTTTTAAGCGCCGCGCCTTAAAACTCTCATCTAGAATGTGATCTTTGCAACGGCGACCCTCTAGGCTGTTGGAAAGCGTTGCATTTTCCATCTGCATCCAGTTGATACCTGCCGGCACGTAGGCGATTTTCCAATAAAAAAATGATTGCCCAAGACCTCTAAAAACAATGAAGCGACGATTTGGGTCAAGTAAATGATCGTCTGTTTACCAATACGGCGACAAAGAAACGTTTCATTTGCCGATGACGGTTTCAAGTCAGGTACATGCCAACCGGATGGTACAGAGTGTCCGAATAGGGATAACTGGACATTGATCATTGACCGCAGGGTGTGTCCCAATTCCTCCTCAATGTAGCAAAAAACCCTTAATTTTCCTCAGATCATGTGAATAAATAATGCTAAACATCCGATTGACGCACAAATCGACGAACTGGACTAAAGTTGAACAAGCTTTGCTCAGCCAGGTGATACGGGGAATAAATCTGGGATTGTCTTTAAGTAAACCAATCGAACGATAAAGCCGGAAGACAAGAGATCTCCGTTCCGATGATTAACTAAACAAATGCACGCGGTTTCTTTGTCCGCGTCAACAACTCGCACGTTTCTTCACTTTATCGGTTATTTTGAAACACAATTGGGCCGCACCAAATCAGAGCTACACGACAATTCCTATGTGTGTGTGTGCCACACCCGTCTACAGTCAAGTGGTGTCTTACACCTGCCACACTTCGTTTGCTCAGTTCAGTTAACAAATCCGCATTTCTCTGCACTTGTGTGAGTGAAACTTTCGCCGGTTCTTCTTCATTTGCCCCGGTATTCATCGGATTTAAGGGACGCCCAGTTGGTTCCCATGGCGACCGTGCATCAACGTCGTCACTCGCCATGTGAACGTACCTCAGTTGAAGTGTCATGACTATTACAAGGGTCGCAAGATTAGTTGACGGGTGACTGAGCATATTTCATCAAAATCGACGCAAGCGTCCGTCACTAACAGAAGAACGATTTATATCGATATCGACTTCAGGTGATTTTGGTGAAGACTCGCTGGAAACAATTCAGTAAATTTTCATATTCGCAACAAGTCAAATTCATTACTGGGCTTCAGTCATTTATTAGGTATCAAAATAGGTTTCGGTGTATTTTTCCACCATCATCAGTTTTTATGTGTAGCGTTGTTGCTGCTTTAAGCCTTGGCAGGCATTTGGAGTTGCACACTCCAAAGGCATATGTTTTTTTATATATTTTAAATACTTTGCAAGAAACAAACAAAACAACCCTGTATACAATTCGCAACAAAGTCAGAAAGAGGTTTCAAACCGATCAAATTCCCGATTCAATAAATCACATAAATACGAGTATTTAGTCCTCCTGTGCGACCGGCCATCAACTATCGTTTGTTCTAGTTACCGCAATGGAGGAACCACTCGAAGCCAACCGAACCAAAGAAGCGCTAGACGACCAAAGCAACCGCACCGATTCGGGAATCTTCTCGACCACAACCAACACGTCCATAGAGGCGTGTGAGAGCGACAATCGCAGCGACAATCGCAGCGACTGCAGCTCGCCCGAACGGAAATACGTGTGTCCCATCTGCGACAAGATGCTGACGTCGCAGCACAACTTCACGCTGCACATCCGCTCGCACAACAATCAGGGGGAGGATCAGGCCAGCGAAAAGGGCTTCGCCTGCCGCATCTGCCGCAAGGTGCTGAGCTCCAGCTCGAGCCTGGACCGCCACGTGCTGGTCCATAGTGGAGAGCGGCCTTTCCATTGCAAATTCTGCGGCGACACGTTCACCACCAATGGAAACATGCATCGGCACATGCGCACCCATTCGACCAAAGGGGAGAACTACGAGTCGGATGGGAGCAGCGACAGCGGCAGCTCGAGAAGCATCGAGTACAACAACAACAAGGTCGAGTCGAAGCCCTGCCAGAAGAGGCGACTGGAGGACGCAGATATGGACCAGAAACTGGACGCCAAACGACCGGCCTTGGGCCCGTTTAGGTGTCCAGTCTGTCAAAGAACCGATTTTAACTCGCCGGGGGTTCTAGAAGCCCACTTGGAGGACAACCATCCAGAGTACCCAGCAATCGGCAGCCAGAGAGCGGCCAACAACAAACAAACTCACCCCCTTACCAAAGAAAAGGCGCCCTCCAAGCAGCCGGTGCTCGGGTTCCAAGACCTCACCTTCGTGGACTTCTCCAGCGAGAAGTTCCCCCACATTGCCAGGCGGGAGTGCGAGCGCAGCCTGCACAAACCTGCATCGTGTGGGCCGAAGTTCCAATGCCAGAAGTGCCTCAAAGCCTTCCCCTGTTCCAGCTCGCTGGCCATTCACGAGAAGAGTTGCCTCGAAGCGTCCCCCGGTCTGAATTTGAGCGGCCGCAACGGGATCTGTGAGGACGATATCCGCCGAACTGAGTTCTTCTCCCGGCTGAACCTCCAGGACAACGACAAAATCCCCGAGAAGCTGATTCCTACCAATAAGCTGAGGGAGCAGCTGGTCAAGTTCATGGACAACAAGGACTTGGCTGATATCCCATCGATTCTGTCCAATATTCAAAAGCCCAGCGAGCTGCGACTGCCGCCAACCAAACATCTCGTCGACCAGGACAACAAGCAGGAGAACGAGGAGGAATCGCAGGATTCGTTCGCCATAGAGTTCCGCAAAATGAAGCTGCGTGGGGAGTTCCCGTGCCGACTGTGCACGGCGATTTTCCCCAATTTGCGCGCCCTCAAAGGCCACAACCGCGCCCATCTGAGTGGCAACACCAACGGAACGTACTACTGCAACATGTGCCCTCACTCCTCAATCGACAAGGCCGCCCTGATCCGGCACATGCGGACGCATAACGGGGATCGTCCCTATGAGTGCTCGCTTTGCAACTACGCGTTCACCACCAAAGCGAATTGTGAGCGCCATTTGAGGAATCGACACTCCAAAACAACCAGGGAGGATGTCAAGAAGTCCATCATCTACCACCCGTCAGAGGATCCCACCAATGACGAGCTGAACAAGCTGACCGTTAGGGAGGAGGACAGGAAGCACAGCTTCAACTCGTCCAGCGACTTTGATGGCGCCTCAATCTCCAAACATACGCGCAGTAAGTACATTAAATGAGACACCAAATGATCGAAAGGGCACTGAGACGTGTGGTCTAACTTTAATTGAAAAAAATGTCCGTCTCTTCGGCCTAATAATGGTTAAAGGTGGGCCTGGAGAGCGCGCTGAATTTTTAGGAGTTGGCGCAGTGCTATGCCAATGGCTTCGTGCGCCAACCCAACGCACCGGCGCAGTAACTCCGTTGTTCCAAAATCTAAAAAGAATTTTTTTGAAAAAATTTCTGATTTGAAAACACAAATAATATCGCAGTCCCCTTTTGATCATGCGCTTAAGGGACACCCTGCATAACGCTTGAAACGCACTGATTCTACAGAGTGGCCCAATACAGGGTGATTCAAAATTGGCGGGTTGGGGAGTACAAGAAAAATATTGAAATTTTTTTTTTTTTTAATATTTCGAGAAGATATTAATAGTTGAAGGTCGAATTTCAACTGTGTTTTTAAGCATTATTTTGAAATTGTTCCATGTTTAATTGGCGGCATATTCGAATACTTAAGCATTCAAAAAGAAAAATTACGATCTTTGCTTCAAGTTACGAAAATTTGCGATATTAGAAAAGTTCTGTTCTAAAATTTTTTGATGGAAAGGCTTGTTAATAATAACCATAATGTGTCATACTGTGACTTACTTTGAATTTTCTTTCACGAATTTGCGGATCTGCGATTAGTTCAGGGGAAATTCTACAGTAACATGGCGGAAGCTGAAAGAACTCACGCCAACGAAGGGCAAGGAAAGTAGTTCCAGGAAGATAGTGGACGACAATCGATCTTCGGGTTCCAAGCACAGAGGAACAAGTATTGGATATAATCGAATCAGGGCCTTCCAGGGGCACTCAGAGCCCAATAACTGACACTTTCCCAAGCACCAAATAAATACCGAGGAAGGGCTACATTCCTACCACGTTTGTACGATACACACAGCACAAGGAGATACGAATGGAGCACGAGTTAATTAACTGAATACGAGAAGCTGCTTGATAAGAGTGGATAATAAGGAGATTACACAGGCACTAGCT